ATAGCCTTTTCCTTATCCCCCATTTGTTTTACTTATATCTGATCTAATATTTTCCTCTAGTGACGTTGCTTGGATAAAGAAGCTCTAGAATCAATATGCACACATCCTTGGATAAAGAAGCTCTAGAATTAATATTTTCCTCTAGTGACGTTTCATGAAATTCCTTAATGAGATCGTAAGCTTCTAAGTTGTGACTGTGTAACATCCTTGTTCCAAGTATTAATTTCCAAGCCATAAATTATTAATTGTTGCATTTTTTTGGTTTGGCCATGGCATGGCAATAACGTGACACGACATGGCACTGAGATTAATGAAACATGAAATCCACAATTGGACATGGCGTGACAGTATACGGCCACAACATGGCATCTGTTTTGGCTATACATCCCTAATTTCGGGACTTATGCCCATTTAAGAGGCACTAACTCCTATGGTTACCTCAGTGGCAGCCTCCACCCCTTGAGATCTAATTCCATCCAACACCATAGCCCCCTTTTTTGTTTTGAGTGCTTGAAACCCATCTTTGTGAAGGTTGAAGGAAGCAAGAGCTTTTGGGTGTTGCTTGAAAGAGTGGTTCCAACTTAGATCCATCAACTACACCTTATTTATGCATCATTAAAGGTATAAAGTCTTTACCTTGATAATTGATTCTCTAGATCTAGTTCTAGGTCAATTTCATTAGCTTTTGTCCCAAATTATCTTGTTTTTGGATTTGGAGTGAACTCTATAACCTTTTAGTGCAATGGTTAAATTTTGGACCTTGGGGTTGATTGGAAAGTTAGCTTGCATGGCTTTTTGAGTGTACTCATGGCTTGGTGTTATTATTAGGATCTTAGAGGTTAAGATATTGTGTTTATAAGAGGTATTTAGGGATAAAGTTGGAAACTTTATCCGTTAAGACCATGAGGAGGTTTAGATCTAGAAGTTTGAGCTGAGGGGATTACGGCATTACAACTTACTCCATTAAGTGAATGATAACAAATGCCCATGGTGTGGTTACCTGGTGCCACGGTGTGATGAATGGTGTTTTCACTACCATCTCGTTAGACAATTGCCATAGCATGGACAATAGTGGTCACGGCGTGGGAGTTCGTCAGTTGCCGATTGTTTTGTCTTGGAGTGGCCACAACATGGCCATAAGTGGCCACGACGTGGAAGCCTGTCAAGTTGACCTTGACTGTTGAATTTTGACTATAGTTGACTTCTGGGTACATCTAGAGTTTTAAGGATGTAGACTGATAAGGTATGACTTTACTACTTTAGGTGTCTCGTTGCTCCTGTCTATCCTGTGTGTGACAGTTGTCATATTTCTCGTTGTTATTAATAGGATGAGTCTTCTCACTAGTTTACCTATATGGTATTTATGTCTATGATCAGCTGGGTCTTATTTGTTGTTTGATGTTTTATTTATATTGTATTGCTGATATATTGGGATTGCTGATAATCCCCAGGGTTTCTGAGAATCCCTAAACATGTTGATAATCCACAGGACATGTTGTTAGCCTACTGGGATTGTTGAAAATCCCCAATGTTGCTACTAACCCATGGTTGTTTATTATGCTATGTAGTATGGATATTTGGGGAAGGACTCACTAAGATTTATGCTTACAGTTGTGGATTAAATGTGTTTCTGGTACTACAAATGATCACGACAAGGTGAGGCATGACTGTACACTCCGACTTGCATACCTTTTTATGATTTTTGTATTTCAATACTCTGATTTAGGGATGATTGTACCGATACACATGGGATTTCTTGTTTCAGTTTTATGACACTTGGTGTTTTTTGCAAAAATAATAATGAAATCTTTGTTTGAAATTTTGGGTTCTTTAAAGTTGGTATCAGATCCCTATTTTGAGAGAATTAGACGAACAATCATGGGATTCAAGGCTCAAACAAAGGATCTTAAAGTTTTATAAACCTTTTCACAAAAATAAGTTTGCAGAAGGGAATAAACAAAGAACAGTGTACATTTAACTGGAGCCCGAGGCAGTGACTTTCCAAAATATCCATAACTATGTAATATGTTTTATTGTAGTTGTAGTATTTTAGCTTATAGAAATGCATGCTAGTTGTTAGGCTAAGGATCCATCGGAGATTACTTTTGAATTCCTATTAGATGTGAAGCTATGATTGCAAATTACTTCATGTAAATTGCATGGTTGTATATAGTTAGGATTTTATAGCCTTGAAATGCTTACTTTAGCCTTACTTTCTGTTCCTTGTTTGTTTGTGGATTTGGGGTGGAATCTCTTATTCAAATGTATTTTGAGTCCGGGTTATGTATAATCGGTTTATGTGGAGCCATTGGCAAATTTAGCAGAGACTTCTTGTGGAATAGAGCGACAGTTGAGCAGGGACCTGAGATGTATTTCTTAGGGCTTATATTTGGATTTTCGAGCACTTAGATGTTTGTTGCTTACTTCTATGAAACTAGAGTGTTTGAGGTTTGGAACCTTGATAGGAGATCTAAATCAACTACTGTGGAAGATAGTCTACGCCCTTACTACTAGAAGCATAGGATCTATAACGTCTGACTTCCAGGTAAATTTCTTAAAATTTTAAATGTTTATTTATTTTGCAATGGTGGGTATTACACTGGGCTTAATTGAGGTACGTTGGGGGTACCTTGATGAATCTTGGACATGCCTACTATGTTGGGCATACCTATCATATGTTGGGCGTAATCAAGCGAAGGGAAAACCCTAAAATTTAGGTTTGGGGCCCTATTTAAGAACTTTATAACCTCAAGGCCTCTTCTATCATTAGCCTCCTTCACCCGAAAGCAGTTCCCATGAAACCCTAATCCTTTTTTAGAGAATATTTATCCTTGTGTGTGTTTTGGAGTGTTTTTGGTGCATCTTGAAGAAAGAAGAACCATTTGGAGAAGCCCTTGTCGATTTGAAGCTTGTAGATCCATAATCTATTCACTTTGATCATCCTCTTGGAAGTATAAATTCACAACCTTGTTGAATCATCTCTTAGATCTAGTTAGTTTTGCTTTTTTGGCATATTTGGTCCCATGAGTTGATTCATGCGAGTATAAGTTAATCTAGAAGCTTAGTTTAGATCTTGATGTTTTTGAGATCCATTTTTCATAAAAATGGCATCTTGATGAATTTAACACAACCATGCAAGAGTTGATGTTCATATTATGGAGTTGGAATGTTCAAAATGTGTGGTGGGCCTCTTTGAACCATGAAAAGGCATCAAGTTGATGGCTTCATCATTTAAGACATTTCCCAAGAGCTAAATCTATGATTTGGACGTTTGGACTTAAGCAATTTAGTTCTTAATGTGAGTTTTGGCAATCCGGGGAGTGTATTGGGTGTGCATAGGCATTCGCTCAGCGTAACACATTTTAGCGCATTTTTCCTTGCTATGTAAGCTTGTACGTTGGGTGTAATAAGGTAGTGCGCTTAGCATACTCACCATAATCCCTTTAGTCCATTTTTTGGGACTTAGGATTTTTGGGCTTGGGCCATGGATTTTGGGCCTAAGTTAGGAAGGGTAAAATGGTATTTTTCCCTTTGTGAGAGGGATTGTGTTTTGGGCTTTTAGTTATGGTTATTACCCTGATTATTTATTAAATTTAGTGTGAATGTGTTCAGTTGGGGAGCCATCGTAGCAGAAGCCCGCGTGTATGAGTGTTTATCATTTGATTGAGGTGAGGCTTCTCACAATGGTTGGCGGGTCGAAGGCACCAATGTCAACCCATTGATTATTGTTATTAGAATATTAGCTGTTTGTGTGACTCTTTCATGTATTGTATGTGTTTGTATGTATAGTGGCAGGGCTTGATGCCAGGTGAGGCATGATGAGTGTGTTAGGTGGGGCCCATCGTATGTTACTGAAAAATCTGTTTAGGGCGGAGCCCAATGAAGGGTGAGGCCCGATGTATGTATGAAATGTGGTATTTTGGGCTTAGGATCTACTCAGGATTTGTATGATAGGGAAGATTCCTTATATGGTTATTGTATAAGCCCTTAGAACTGCATGCTAGTATGGATTACTGACAAAATCTTAGGACGGCCTGTTAGGCAGTCCTCTGGTTAGAACTTGATGCGTGAATGTTGCTTGCTTTGTGCTATTAGGAACCACCGCTAGTGCTAGCTGACTATCAAGACAATATGATAGGTTACATGTTGTAGAAACTATATAATTATAGAAGGTTAGGTTTAAATTTATTGCACAACTCTTGCTTGAGTCCAACTATTATAACGTGGGACCTAAGAGTTGAAGAATTATCTAGTGTATGTAGCATGTAATTATATTCATAACATAGTTAGCGGGTGTTAGTAGGGGTTTCTCTTGCAGCTGATGGTGGAGAGTGTAGGGAGGGAATCCTTGGAGAACCTAGGAAGCATGTTAGAATTAGCAGATGCGTTGGTTAAGGAGTCACTTAGGGGAATCAAGATGATGCTTGATAAAAGCACGGATAGGTGTAGAGGGTAGTATTGGTCCCTTACTACTGAAAGCATAGGATCCATACTCGAGTCAAGAGAGTCACGAGGATACTAATTGATGTGTTCTACATTTGATTTTGACCACAATTGATCCACGAATAATAGTTAAGAACACAAGATGTAATATAATCTGGTTGGCTCGTATTTAGTCTGAAATGAGTACAAAGTATTGAGAGTATTTTACAATCAGAAGACCTCAAAAAGTTACCCTCTACTCTAGTACTTACCCTATATATAGGGTACAACATACTCAACAAAAAATACAATGACTAAACATTTTAGCTTCGAAACTAACAATGCCTTGAAAACACATAGAGAGTCGAAATCATTTGGATTTTGACTCCTTACAGACTCGGACCATTTCAACTCCTCACTATAAACGTTTTGTGCCCTACAATCCCGCTCGTAGTTAGGTCAGTTGAAATTCGGCCATCAGCTTTAGGGTCTGAAGAAGTACATTCTGAATCTCCATATACCAAAAAATGGTATTTCGAATCTCTACCTTGTCTTCACTTTCATTCTTCTTACGGTTGTTAGTTCTTTCCTTGAAACACGACACCAAGAGGTTGATGAATTATCTCACAAGGTTCATAATCATTGATGTTAATCTTACCTCTTAGAAAAGATTGAGGGGATTTCAAAGGTTTCTTGATAGTTAAAGCAAGCTCAATATCAGTGATTTCCAAGAAATCATAGTAGTTGTCTATGAAAAACTTGATATGAGCAAAACTAATGATTAAATCATCCTTGTTGTTCTCAATTATCTTCGAAACATCCACATTACTCAAAATATTTGTGAACATGATCAAGTCATTTAACTTCATTAACAGGAAATCTGCAATTGTGAACTCAAAAGTAGCGTTATTTGCTTTTAATACCACATAGAGGAAGTTTTCTAGAAGACCTTCGAACAACTTGTCACATATGATAGTCATCATTTTCATTATCTTCATAGGCGAGCATATATCTTCTTCGTTTTTTCCTAAGACTGCGTGAAAACGAATATTTGGTCTTTTGAATTCATCTATATCATTGAAATTCTCAACAATCTTGAATTGAGAAGATGTGAATAACTTGTGGTTGATCAAAAAATCAAACTGATTGAAATCAGAATTATCAATGCCATAGTTCTTCTTAAGCACCTTTCGAACATAATCATTCAACCCAATCGAAACACTATCTTCAATTGTTTCATAACACCACTACCTATTGGGATCACCCTTGTCCAAGCCACGTGGGTCATTTGCTCTTCACCTCAAGATATTGTTGATCTATATTTGCTTCTCAATTTCAAGAGCTTGTTGCTTTTTCTTCTCTTCTTTTGATGAAACAACATAAATTTCTTTTCCTTTCTTACTTGGATCATCATTTGAATTTGGTAAAAGCGAACTCGAACTCGAACCTCTAGCTCCTTCTTTTATTGAGATTCCATTTTTAACGCTCTTGTTGTTGTTGTTGTTGAATTTGTGGTCAAAGACATGGGAAGTGAAGTTGGATTTTGAGTTGAACTTACTTTTCCAACTACAACTCCTTTCTCAGGATCTTTTGAAGAACCAACTCCTCCAAATCCTTTGTCTCCCCCTTGTGACACTTGCCCCATATGTGGAGCATTAGTTGGTAAATAAATGACCAACTCAAGTATTGGAGCAAGCTCGGATTTGATATTGGACTCAATATTCGTAAATCAACTGAGAAAAATACTCTTAAGAGACTATGATTGATACGAAAGGTCAACCTTCAAATTAGACTCCTTGATACTTGACAAAAAATTCTTCCATCTTTTAAAACACCTAAGCATCCTTTTTTGACTTGGCTTCAAGCTTATTCATATACTTAGAATTAAAGTAATCCAACTTAGTGATAGCATTCGCAATGACATCCACTTTGCCATGCAACAAAGTGTAGCTTTGCTCCATTTTCTGAACTTCTTTCGACAACATAGATTCAAGTTCAGAAATTTTGGGATCCACAGACTCCTTCATTTTAGTCACTTGTTCAACAAATAGTTCATGACGTTCCTTTGAAATGTCACGAAGCTTCTGAATCTCATAGTCAAAGCTCTTGGAATGAATTGCTAACCTTTCTTCTTGTTTCTGCTCAATGCCCTCAACCAAGTTTCAAAAGCGATTTTCTTGAGCTTTCAACAAATATTCCATCTCGATGTTAGGCACAAAGGTCCTTCCTCCTGTATCTACTTGTATCTAAAGAAGATAATTGGTTTTCAAGTTAAGAATTTTGAACTGTTTACTTGACATGATTAAGTTATCAAGAAAATTCCCCCCTCATGATCAAATTGAAGATCAACAAAGGACACCATGATTTCATCATCACTAGGTTCTTCGTCATGAATCATTCTCCCAGCCTCAGTGGACTGAGTAGAAAAGAGAGTGGTAATTAGTTCATGCATGATAGTAGAATATGTTGGTGAGGTGGTCGATACTAGAATTGATGTTGTAATGGGTGATGTAATTGGTGGTAATGTTGTAGAGGTTTCAACAATGGAATTTTCAATTGTATATGAGATGATGGTTGAAGTTTTGATGCTTGAAGTTCCAGTGGTAGAAATGAAAGATGATTCATTAATCTTCACCCCTTCACCAATGTTGACATTTGTATCCTTATCAAATAAGTTCACAGTGATGCCTGGAGTACTAATGTAACACCCAAAATCAGGAAGACCAAGAAAAGAAAGGTTAAGATCTAAATCAAGAGTCAACTCGTCGAGTCTAGGGAGGAGCTTGACGATTCAGAGCGGGATCCGGGTCATTGAGTAATTGACCGACTCGGTGAGTCAGCGAGTGGACTCGGCGAGTCTGGTCTGGGTGAGAAAAACCCTAATCCCAGAGGTTGTGCCCTATATAAAGCACATTATAACCCACGTTCAGGCTCTTTGTTCCCCTTTTGAGTTCCAGAAACCCTATAATTGAGCGGGCCTTCATTTTTTGAGAGAATAGAGCCTTGGATGAGAGAATCTTGGAGAGGGGCTTGAAGATAAAGGGCTTTGCTGCAAAGGAGTGGTGTAGATCCGGGATTCACTTCATTTGGAGCTTTCATTTGAGGTAATAGTTTGTTGTTTGGGCTTATGTGCATCTAGATCTATCTTATGTTTGATTTTTGGGCATTTTGAGTATGGATGAGATCGATTTCGAGTTTGGAGTAGATCTGAGGTTTCTACCTCAGATCTAGGTTGGTAATAACCCAGAAAGTCATAAAGATTAGGCCAATATGTTGTTGGTGAAGCCCCTTTGTTACAAACCCTATCCCTAGAGTGTTCTAAGCCTATAACTCCTTGGTTACATGTAAAGTTTGCCACTTTACGTGGGGGTTAGGCTCTAGAGGAATGGATCTATGGATTTAAGCCCTTGCATGGCTCGAAAAGCCAATGTATGGATTAAGAACTGAAGAGACTCGGTGAGTCACATGGGTGTACTCGGCGAGTTGTATGATCATGATCATGAACTCGGCGAGTTGGAAGAACAACTCAGCGAGTCTGTTGAAGATTGCCTTGGACTCGACGAGTCTGTTCTTGGACTCGGCGATTCTGGTCGTAGAACCTCAAACATTTTATGGTTAAGCCTCGAATCAGTGAGTCAGGAGGTGACTCAGTGAGTGGAGCATGATAGAACTCGAAAATCAGTAGACTCGGCGAGTCATGGTCTTACTTAGCGAGTCGAGTCACGATTGAAAGGGCTTTCTGAGCTTATGAACTCGGCGAGTCAGTAGGTTGACTCGGCTAGTAGGGTCAACCTGGAAGGTTGACTTTGACCTTGACCAGAGTTGACTTAGTTTGACCGTTGAAGGGCAGTTTAGGACTAAGTGTTATATTTTGTATTAGTAGATTGGGGAGTCATTGGAGTAGCAGTGCGGGAGCTGTCAGATAGCAGTCATCAGGGTATCAACAAGAACTCTAGCAGTGCAGGTGAGTTTCGTTCCAGTAGGAATGGGTCTAAGGCCATAATGTCAGCCCGTTTAGTTAGCAGTAGTTTCCCAAGTTGGTCCGATGCAGTAGTTAGTATGTTTGATGCCTTCGTGGCTCAGACAGGATTATGTTTTATGTGTCCATGATAGTTAATATGTTATGCTATGCTATGTTAAGTTAGATCCGGATTTCGGTCCGATGCAGTCAGTTCCGGACTTCGGTTCGATACAGGGGACAAGGTCCCAGTTAGTCCGGACTTCGGTCCGATGCAGGAGGAAAGGCCGCAGTTAGTCCGGACTTCGGTTCAATGCAAGGGACAAGGTCCCAATCAGTTTCCGTACTTCGGTCCGATGCAGGGGGCAAGGCCCCAGTTAGTCCGGACCTTGGTCCGATGCAGTGGGCAAGGCCCAGTATGTGCTTATAGGTTTGTATGGTATGTGGTAGTTTTGGGGAGCTCACTAAGATTCGTGCTTACGGTTTCAGTTTTTGGTTTCAGGTACTCAGTTTTCAAAAGAGGAGCTCGGAGAGTTTGCAGTGCACACACCATAGCCAGTTATCCTGGGATGTTTTACTCTAATAATAAGTTATGTTTGAAATTAATACTATGAAATTATGTTATGACTAATTATACGGTTTTTATAAATGTGGTTTTCGTAATGTTTTAAAAGAAATTTTTAGTCGTGAAAATTGGGTCGTTACAACTAACCTCCTCGGTATTGGACTTGGTTTGTGAAAGTCAAGGTATTCTTAGGGATGTATGTTGGTTATTGATCATTCAAAATGATGTTTGTATCCGTATTAGATATGTTTACATTGATAACAGTATCCACTAAAGCCTCAAAATTTGACTTGAGAGGAAAATACCTTCGAGGTGATCCAATAATAGAATCTTCTATGTGAATGTCTGATCTTTCACTATCATTGTCATGATCAGTTTCAACCATTATTTTGTCAAGTTGAACCGAACTCTTTCATTTCTTCTTTTGCAACTTGTAAGATGCTTCTTTGATGCTGGTGAAATAGAAAAAGACCCTTCACGAAACAATATGTTTTCCTATTAAATTGAGGCTTTCAAATCTTCTTTATACCATTGTGGGAAGAAAGAATATTTGAGGAATCAACATTTTTTTGCTCAGTACTTTCGATTTCAGGTTCTTGCACAGGTTGCTTGATCTGGGAATCGGTAGGCTTCTTTGCTGGTTTCTTCTTTTGTTTGAGAATTCCTGATTTCGAGTGGATGATTTCTTTTGTAACTTCATCCTTCATAATTGGTAGTTTCTCAAATTGCTTCATCTTCTTTGTATCTTTGTAATCTTTAGAGTATCCTTCTGCCCCTTTGGTGGAAGAACCCAGCTGCTGTAAAAGAGTCAATCAAATTCAGATATTGCATAAGAAGATGATTTTTAGGATCAACAACTTTGAGCATTGCATCAGGTATGCGAGCAATAGTTGGAAACATAGTTGGATCATCAACAAAAATCCTTGGGGCAGCCATGGTTCAAAACTTAGCCGTTTCGACACCAGAAGGAACCAAAATATCCTCTTGTCAATAAACATATTGTAGAATCAGACTCCAAAAATTAGCATTTGAAACACCATTAGCAAGATTGGTTTGTGTGATTGCTTTTCCAAACTATCCTAGAGATGTGTGGCATAATCCACATTCAGACCATAGTATAGTACCGCGATGACTAAATATATTTCAAGTTTGGCTTTTTCGAACCCAGAGCTTCATCCAGATAAATAACGTAATACAATTCCAAAAGGAAAACTATGTAAGCAAAGAAGACTTGACTTCTTAAAGTGACTTATACCAGTAAGAATTGGTTGATGCCTAATTTTATTGAACATATAAAGCACTTGATCGGTCGAAACTTCATAAAAGGTACCTAACACTAGCAACTTCAGGATTTGGGAAAAAATCTTCCTAGTAAGCTTCTTCATCTTTGGATTTGTCAACTGAAACATAACCACCTTAGTTGTTTTGTTGAATACAATCGTGGAACTAGCAAAGGATAACTATTCCATTTATACTGCAAATGAAGAAGATAGTGAAACTGATAAGATGGAGTTGTTTAGGGTTTGAACAAGCATCCATAATTGCTCGGAATACTGATTAATCGATGGAACCAAATGAAGATTAGTAGTTTGAATGTTCATCATTGGTTGTGAAACTTCCTCTTCATTTGTTGTAGTTGGATCAACAGTGAGTTGATGAACAGACATTGTAGAGAATGCATATGTGTTTGAAAAAAATGGGTAGTTTAGGGTTTTTGGAAATTTGATCTCAGAGCATAAAGTTTGATAATGAAATTATCAAATTCTTTTATCGATGGTATTTTTGAATTTGAACTAGAATCCAAAAATAAACTGCCACATATTGTCACACCCCCAAACCAGACGGCGGAAACATCCGAAGGTTGGGTGACTTCATATTGTAATATCACTACAGTGTATATATTTGAATGAAAGACAACAACATCATCACACTTGAAATATAACAAGCATCATATTTTACATTAGTGTGTTGTTTTACAAATTACATTCCAAATGTCAAATGTATGATGATAACAAAAATACACAAAATCCATGTGTTCTTGATGACTAACCTGCTTAACGATTCCCTGATAATACAATTTATTTTGAAAATGGTCAACATATATAATGTTTTGAGTTCATAAGCATGTTTGTAAGAAAAGTTTTGTATCATTTGTAAACTCCAGAAAATCCGATATTTTCAACAAAAACTGTTTGAGCGTTTTGTTTCAAATCTTGTATTATAGCATGTGTGTTCATGTTTTGAAAATGTATGAAGAGAGAGTTCCAGAAATTTATATATTTTCTGTTCTATATAAAATGTAAAGTATCGTGTTTGTTACCCAAAAATCCAACATTTCCTGTCTATAAAAGAGTTGTAGTCTTTAAACCATAAGACCCGAGTGTTATAGAAATGAATACCTCGTACGTGTATCAATAATATAGTATAGGTATTACATAAATTTATCGTGTTGTTAAATTCTATATGACTTGTTATAACCATGCTTGATATGACTGATCTTCCTGTCATGAAGTTTTTCAGGCGTCGACTTGTTTAAGGTAAGAGATTTGTCACCCTAGACTGGCCTTGTCTAGCTATAGGGAACAACTCAGGTGCGGAGATGTCAACCCCGTATAGATCTATAGACAAACTCTTACTCTCCCTCTAGGAGACTCTGGTTATAACTACAGGACTTAAGGTTATACAATAGGTATGTACATATGAAAGAACGTCTCATAAGAACCTGAACTAAATTTACGCGAATAGTGTATCACATTGTTTACTGTTTTAAAATAATGTTTCGAGTATGCATTTGATTACAAAACATTGGTGATGAAAATACCATTTGTTTTTATCAAAGTGTCAAGTATTGTTTGTTATTGGCCCGATTAACATAAAATGTGTCGTGAGGCCCAATAAGAAAATGAATGGGCCTATAAGGCCTAAATAACATGTAATGAGAACACAAGGCCCAATAAGCATGTAATAGGTATTTAAGGCCCAATAAACATGAAATAAATATATGAGGCCCATCAAACGTGTAAATGGGTCAATGAGGTCCAATAAACATGTAATAAGTATACAATGCCGAATTAAAGTGAAAATGACGTAACTAGCCCATTTGTTGTTATAATGCTTGTTTTTGCTCAATTACTACCAAAGAGACATAAAAGACCCACTTTCCTTAGAAATGACCTTTTTGGCCCAAATAATCAAGATTTTTCAATAAAAGCCCACTTTTTGTGAAATTTTAATTATTTGGCCCACTAAAACCAAAATCTACAACAAATGCCCATTTTAATTTCAAATGACATTTTTAGCCCATTAAAACTCGAAAGTCTGTAAATAAGGCCCATTTTGAAAAAAAAAATGACAATTTAAGTCCATTAAAGCCAAAAATTTACATTTCAAGCCCATGAAACCGTGAATTTCTACATAAGGCACCTTTTTATGAAAAAATGACCATTTTAGCCCATTAAAAGGGTGAAGGCCCAAAATAAGCCCATTCTGTAAAAAAATAACACTTTTGACCCATATACAACCGTGAATGTCATAATAAGTCGTTTTTATAAAAAAATGACTCATTTGACCCAAAACCGTGAATGTGTTAAGAACCCATTTTTATACAAAAATGACTCTTTTGATCCTCTCAAAACCGTGAGTTGTCATAAAAAGGATCACTTTTGTTTATTTGTCAAAAATGGTCCCTCATTAGGTTTTCTTTTGTTTTAAAGTATCCTTTAACATGTTTTATCTTTTCAACAACATAATGAGTTACATAAGGTAACTTAATTTCTCAAGATCTTCAAGACTTGGAAATATATCGAGTTTATGAGGCTTTAACATAGATTCATAACATATTTGCACAACACATCATGAAAATACACACTAGCATGCATGAATACTTAGAAATAATACAAAACCAACTTGTATCCTCCCCCAAAACATAGTAAAACCAAAAACAAGGGGGCATGAAGCTCACCTTGGTGATGGATTCTGTTTTTATGAAGAAATGAAAGAGAATGAAGGTGTTTTCGGCCTTGAAGTGTTCCTTTGGGAAGACTTTCGAACATAAGAAGTTCTAAGAAACTTAAACACGAAATGAAGGTAGCTATGAGAGTAAATCCTTAACACAAAATGGAATAATTCAACTTGAGTTTATATGATCTTACCACAAGTGTGAAGTTTGAAGTGATTTTCTTGTACACACCCAAACTCACGAATTTGAAGAGGTAAAAGTGAGAGAGTTCTTGAGAGTTTAGAGAGAACTTAGAAATGGAATGAAGTTTGAAATGGAAGGGGGGGCGGGGGAGGGTCGAGTTTTAGAGAGGAAGAGAGAGGAGACAAACATATTACCTTGAAGTATGAGATTCTTAGATGTATGTGAGGTTACATGCATGGATATCATCCATGCAATAAGGAGGTGTCATGTATTTAGATTAATTAAACTTTCTCTTTTTTTTTACATATATATATATATATATATATATATATATATATATATATATATATATATATATATATATATATATATATATATATATATATATATATATATATATATAACCGAGAATGGAGACGGGGGTGAAAAGAAAAGGAATGTTGGGCTTGTATTGAATATCAACTGAAAATACAAGGTACAATAAGGAAATTTTTGGCCGATTAGGCCCACATATGTGTTTACGGCCCAAATTGATAGAAGGAATGGGTTTTCGGCCAATATAATTAAAGAAGATGGTTTTTGGCCCAATAAGGCCTATGATGAGTCTTATGGCCCAAAATGCTATTGTTTATTGAATGTGGGTCCGACTAGGACCCAAATGAGGTTTCTTAGTCCAAAAGAATCAAGTTGGGGGTTTATTGGTCCATTAGGCCCAATAAGGTGAACCGGGAAGTTAGGGTTTCAAACCCAAAGTTAAGTGAGTGTAGTGCATTGAATTAGGTTTAGGGCTTCATGTGTGAATTTTTTATTTGAATTGTTGCTGATGAATAAATAAGATGTATAACATAATACTTAAGGTTACAAGAATTCTCCAAAAGTAATTACACATGGACATAAATTCCTACCCTTAAAGTACTAGTTGTGAGACATATTATGTTGGTTACTTAATCATCACTACGAAAAGCTCCACATCATAAAAGTGATCATCACGTTTTCCTTGAATCCCATAAAAATCCAGAACCATCATGTCCATCGAATATTTCTCTATTTCGAACCAGATAAAAACTGTCATATTTTTCGAACTGCAACCAAGTACACCACGTAATTTCGACACCAAGATACAAGCATTCCTTCGACATGGAGGCTAGGCTCATTGGTTTTGGCATATGGAAGCGAAATCATATGCCAGTCTTTGGAAAATCTAACCTCAACGATTTCAATGCATTTGTGTTTAAGAATAAGAGAGAACCAATTTTTTAAAAAAAAATGTGGATATAGTGATATCAAATATCTCTTGATACGAAAGCAGATTGATTCCACCCAAAGATCTCTTTATTCGACATCAAGAGAGATGAATAACTACTTGTGTGGTGGCCTGTGAATTACAACCGAATAATCATTGATGACTAGTGTAGTCAAGAAAAAGTATGGTTGGATATAATTTCAAATGATAAAAGTTCAAAAAGATATTCAGAAGAAAATCTCTTTCCAAAAAAAAGTAGTGGATCTATTTGGGAAAAAACGTGTTGGTGTTAAAGCGTTTTGTCAAGATATTTCAACTCGAATGAAATGAGATTTGAATATTGAAATGGC